TAGTAGTCTATAGATTGTAAAAAAATAGACATTCAAATTTTCCAAAAATCAAATGGTATGTTGTCAAACATGGGTGGATGAGTTATGGAATAACCCTCCAAAGTACTATGGTTACCAAAATATACCATAATTGATTTTCTCAACTTTTCTAAAATATTATTTTTGATACCCTATTCTGATACTAATTGAAAGTACAAGATGCGTGAAGAAGGGTGGTGAATTGATATTTAAAAAATTAAATCCTAAATAGGAGTTCTAATTTTTTGATTTTTTTATTTATTTCAAAAGGATGACTTAACTAATCAAATATGGAAGCTAATAATTTCATAATGATTGCAACAATGGTGATGATTTTATTTAAAATCGTATAACGAAATACCAAAATTATTTTTTTACCAAGTAGTTATAGCAAAGTTAAATGCAAGAAAAGTAAAATGCAGAAAATGAAAAAAGAACACTATAAAGTTTTATAATGGTTTGGTCAACCTTGACCAACTTCCACTCCCCAGAGTCCTCCACTTCAAGATTTGCACTACTCAAAAGTAACTCTTCTTCTACTCCCATAGCAAGGCGTAGAATCCTTTATAAAAACTCACTTTCACCTTCCCTAGTGTAGCGGAGTGCCAAACGCTATGTCACCCTCCCGGTGACAATAGCGGACCTTCTATTTTTTCTCCTTCCTAGAGAAGGTAGAGAACCTTCTAGGATTTTGACCTTGAATTCTCTCCTCCTAGAGAACTCCCACAAGACTCACCCAGGCCACAGGAGGAGCAAGCATGCAGCAGGCTCAGAGAGACCTTGTGATCATCCTCTCACACTACTTCTCCCTCACACATAAACTCACCTTCTCCTTCCTCTCATAGGCCCTGAATCTTTTCAAAAAACTCCCTCTCAAGAGTTTCCTTCCTTTTTCACGTTCATATCTATCTCTTAACAAAAAAATGCATTGATTTTATATCAGGCTTCTTGAAACCTTCAAAATTCAATTTATCCATTTATGTTCGTACAATATAGATCGTACATTATGATCAGTTCAAAAAAGCTTTTGTCCTTGTGTAAAGGAGTACGAACAATCAATAATAATTAATACATTTAAAGTATGATATGAATATCGTCCAGTATGATATACTATATTTCTTATGTTCATATAGGATGAATGATGGGATGAAAAAAATTCATCTCTCTTCATCGTGTGGCACAATTTCATTCATAAAGTATGATTATTTAAAATTATTCATGTCATCTTGTACGATGTAAAAGTTGTACAGTATGATTAGTTCAAAAATCATGGTTTTGTCGGGTACGATCTTTGGTACGACTAAAAACATCCTTGATTCATTATACATTACGATCAAGGTCATATAGTATGATTAGAACAAAATCAAAAGTTTATTTGGTACGAATGTTGGTACGACTGAAATTCATCTCAAATCATTGTACAGTGTGATCACGGTTATACAGTATTCTCACCAATCAATAATTAAGACTTAATTTAATTGACTAATCACGAAAGTTAATTTTAGTAAGTTTTTAAATATTCGTATAGTGTAATTTCAACATACAGTATGATGTGTTCAAAATTCAAATCTTAAAAATTTGCTTAAATTAATCTAGCGGCTAGGGTTTAGGGTTCAAAATGAATCGTACAGTATGATCATGATCGTACTATTTTATTATTTTACAAAAAGTTTGTCGTTAAGATATAATATATCATACAGTACGATTTAAAATCATACAGTAAGATCTACATAAAAAAATAAATTTTTTATCTAAAAACTCTCCCCCTATATATGTGTATAGTCACTCAATTACATACACAGTTTGGTGGCCAATCTCAAGAAACAAAAAATAAAGAAAATAAAAAAAATTACATACTCCTTCATATCCTATTCTATCTAGTCTCAAGTCTTTTGTTGTTTTGAGCAGTGCATAATCTCCCTGAAATGTTAGTACTTACAGATAGGAGTAACATTCAAAATATTTAGTTTTCATTTTAAATTTTCTTAGGGTTTTTTTTCTATTTCATGATCAAAAGTGGCTATAGATAAGTGTTCACAACCTTGCGTATAAAAATAGACAAATTTAATGAAAACACTTCACACACAAACATTTAAAACATGAGTTTTTAACAAGTTTGGAACAACTAGAACAAAACACAATCATATAGATAAAATAATACTACAGAAAAACAAATCAGTAAGATTAAATTCATGATTAAAATAAATATTAACATAATAATTTCAAGCATCTATTCCTTGACAACGGTTCAAAAAATCGAGGTAAAAGACATAACGCAAGTTCACCTATATCGTTCAAGTAATATAACAATTGAGAAAAAGTATTGCTCTCTTGGGAAATTAGCATGTTGATCTTATAAGCTAAATACCAAATTTTCAACCACAAAATTTATCTTGCCAATAAAAAAATTAACGAGGAAAATAAGTAAACTAAAACTAAATTTAGATTTTATCATAAAATAAACTCTAAATTTGTGATTGATCTGATGATTATACATATTATAAATGTGTCTATTAATTTATGATTGTGGACTAGAGCATAAATAATTCCACATATTTATCAAGCTCATTAGGATCCTAGTAAATATATGATTAATGCCTAATCAATCACACCTTCACTACATCGTACACATCTCCTTAATCTTCCCAAAACCCTAAAAGACATTATAATTTTTCCACCTAATAGTTAATCAGTGGCTCTATTGCATGTACACCTTCTTAATATTCCAAAAATTCTAAAAAAATGCATGTCTATGTTTTTAGAATTTTGTTCAAATTTCCCTACTTATTCCACTACGCCTCCATTGTGAAAATAGATCATACTTGGTCTTAAATTTATGCATGACCTTGACACAACTAAATTAAGATCGGGAAAACTTGAAATAATTATATGCCATTAAAGAATGTAGACCAAATCTACATTGCACACAATACCATCATCACATTATAAATTAACAACATGATACTATTTTGCATGTTTAACAAAACAAAAATCATAGTTGTTATTGAAAATTTGAATATAAAGTACACTAATGAGTTAAAATAGGTTAATACCGTAAGTTAAAACTTACTTTCCTCTTTGATTTCACCGTTGATTTGTCTTACAAACCACAACACAAGCATTCATTAAAAGAAAATTGAAAACAAAATAGGGAAGAAACTCTCCCAAACTCTCCCCAAAATTTTTCCTAAAAAACCCCCTTTAGAAGTCTCTTCTCTTAAAATGAAAGTGCTTATTTATACGAATTACAAAACACTTAACACTCTAACTAGTCCACCCGATAGTATTGCGATGCTGATCTAGTAGCATGGTAGTGCTCTTAGTAAATCACACATTCTCTTTGAATTATAGTTGATAACTACCGACACAACCGTGTTGTTGAACCAATTTGACGTGGTGTTGTCGATCATGGTGCTACAACATTGGATGGTCTGTCACTGTAGTGCCATGCTATTTATCTTAAACCTTAAATTTTACTCTTTAGAGAGTTGAGGCAATGGAGGAACAACACTATGGCACTCCAATTTGGCATTATGGTGTTGGATGTTTGGTGTTGCGTTGTTAGCTTCTCTGCCTTTAGAATATAAATTCTTTCATGTGGAACTACAATGCTTGTAAGACAATGTTGCATCATTTTTTTTATATGGCGCCATGGGATTGCAATGGGATTTCTTCACTTTGGCCTCTTCCATTAGAATTTCCTATAAAAAAATAAAACTTATGTCTATTTCACACAAAATTTATTATTAAAACACTATATTTTCTAATTTAATGACACAATCACGTCATCATCATGAGGTCAACGCAATCTCGAAGACCATAGTACAAATAGGGCCATAAATTCACATTTATATGTCTATTCGCATTTGATAGTTGTATTTAATATCATTCACTAAGCCTTCTAATTTCTCACCAATTAAAGGGCTGAATGAATTGTGGAACTAAATGTATACTCAGAAACTCCTTCTCATATAATAATCAAGTTATAACGAGGATACTAGCCTTAAAGTGAGGTCCCTTTGTGGCAACCATATGAGGATTGCCAAAGGAACTCAGTCGAGGAGGTCAGTGGGTCCTACTCGCCAGAAACCTACTAGGTAGCTCTCTCTGCACGAGGCAAATTAGATATCACTCATGCACTACCTCTCACGCTGGTTTTCCCTAAAACATTCAAGCATTCCCAGCTTAGCTATAATAAGGAACATATTAGAAAGAAGTCCCCACACTATTCGGTTGCTATTGTTTGGCCTAAAACAATGCAATTCTATAACATCTCACTTGCCTTTTCTCCTAAAGGCAACCTCGGATCATATGTGCTAGTCATCAGTTACACCAAGCAGCTAGCCAAGGCTCTCTCACAAACTCAATAGGAGCCTACTTGCCACCATTAAACTGTCCCACAAATAGCTCGCCCATTGATTTCAATATCTTTTGGCCTAGTTATCACGGGATGACACATGTTTATATTAATATATAGTGTTATATGGTTATTTTGTTTAGATTGTAATTTTTCTAATTTTTTTATAAATAGGAGTTGATGATGAATAGTTGGAGGATCCTTAATTTTCTCAGATAGTAAACACTCTGTCAGATTGAAATCTATTGTTCTTTTCCTCTACTGTTTACTCCACGTTTATAGTTCATCTTTAATCACTATTTCTAGCTCATGATTAACCCACCAGAGGAATCACAAATGAACAAAATAGAATCCAATGGGATAATTCTTCAATTTTGTTCTATTTATATAACAAGTTTTAAAATTTATTGGATCTCATTCAATAAAGTCAAAGAACATAAATTAATTTTATACAAATAAGCATCAAATTATTTATTAAATATAAGAATGTATTTATAGCTTTTATTTGTAAGAAAAAAGTTCAAACGAAATTCACATATAATTATGATTTAATTATTAAAGTAGGTTTTATTTTCACTAAACTAAAAAAATATATATTTTTGGAGTTACGAATTTTTGTATGGCGAATTATTATTTTCTTAGAGTAGTTATAGCGAGCTTCATTGAACGGACAGCCCAGAATACCCAGGGACGACGCAGGCGCTGAATGGATGAAGATCCTGGCGAAGACGAGCGACGAGCTCTTCGGGGTAGCAAATTCGCACCACTCCCTTCGCTTCCATTACGAACCCTACCAAGGTCTCTTCACCCCTTAATCCCCCTTCTTTTTCTCTAGAGTTTCGTTCAGACACTTTTTGAGCTAGATCCAATTGGATTGCAATGTTCGTTGAGATGTTGAAGGAATGCTTTTTCTGTTGTTATTGTTATATCTATTTTTGGCTTATATTGTCAATTTTCGGTTCCCATTTTTATTTCGTTTAATATTTTATTTATAGCACCAAAAGGAGAGTTAGGGTAAAGACAAATTATTTTGTTTTTGTGTTGCTTTAGATTGTTTGATGCCTTCTGATTCAAATATATTCCGAAACTTCATGGCTTACAATTTTCTTACTGCTTTTTTTAAGTATAGAAAATTCTTGCACTATAAAGCTGGTTTAGAAGAAGTGAGAAAACTATCCCAATTAAAACCTTAATGTTTCTAAATAACGTCTTTTGCAAAATTTAATTGATGGATTACAAGATTGACAATTTAGACCCTCTTTGATCACTTAATTGAGACGTACACTTTTTAAAGGTAATTCAGGTTTATCTAGTGATGGAATTCCCTTAGATGCTGTTTGGCAATGTATTTATGCAGGATTTAGCATAATTCATGCCACACGGGATTTGAGAATACTATAAATCTCATGACAAGGTTTAGCAATTCATGGGATTTGTCGAAGTAATTTTTTTGTTGTTAACATTATTTTCAAATTTGTCTTTGAAAAAATAAATTTTCTTGCTTACAGCTTACCCACTATAACTCCATTGTATGGTTTCTTGGGAGAACATCGAGAAACAAGAATGCTCACCATACCAGTCACTTGGGTGAAGGCGATTAACAGTATACAACTATGAAAGACTTCGTTATTGTGGACGTGCCACTCTTGTACAATGCCTTCTTTTGCAGGCCATTGCTTAACATATTTAGAGCAGTAGGACCTATCATGTGGAGGTGAAATTTCATGCTTGCAAAAATCAGATAACCTTGAGAGACGGCCTCACATAGTCTCACATTTGTTACTTGAGGGAAGCAGGAAGGTGGTGACTTTCCAAAAGGAAGTCTTGCAGCTTGACATTGAGCATGGCCCAGGGATGGAAACAATGAAAGTAGAGGAGGAAATCTTAGCTGTGAAAGCCGAGTTAGAGAAATCTGATGTAGGCAAAAAAAAAAAAAAAAATCAAATGGGTATTTATTAGTTGGTTGTTTTTCTTCTATTGAGCTTGACCCATTTTTCCTTGGCTGCTTGGTTCTTGGATGGTCGTGCCTCTCCTTGGTGTCTGTTGGGTTTCCTGGCTTGCCGTTGGTTCCTGGGCTTACTATTGGTGTTTTGGCTGCTTGGTTCTTGGCTGGCCGTGCCTTTCCTTGGTGTTTGTTGGGTTTCCTGATGATTTGGTTCTTGAGCTAGCTATTAGGATGCTGGGTTGCTCGGTTCCTGGGCTGGCCGTGCCTTGTTCTTTTGGTTTTCTCTCTATTTTGAATTGGTGATTGTGTGGCGCTTGTGGGAGGCTGTTTGATTTCCATTTATCCCTATTCAAGGGGTTGTTTTCTGCTGTTTAGAGAGAGATTAGTGAGGAAATTTTGGAATGTATAACCTACGGGTTATCTTGCATGTGAGCTAACTTCTTCTACCCTACTTCTACTTTGTCTTGGACTTCTACCTACTTCTTCTCTCCACGGTTTCCTCCCCACATGTATCATTCTTCTTAAGTTTTTAAAAGTTGTAGTTTGTCTTTGTTTTTAATAATATTGTTATCTTGTTATGTTTGTCTATGTTTAAAGAAAGAAATTTATCTCTTAATTTGCAATCTTAGCGGTATATTTATCTATGTTGTAAGAAAGGAAGGTTTGTGTCTTTGCGCTATTTTTTTGACGCATCAATTTGGTATTTAGAGCCTTAGGTTGTCTTGTGTCTTCTTTTCTTTCTTTTATTTTGTTTAATGTATATATATATATATATATAAAAGAATAAACAATCATGATGTAATAAAATCAATTGTGCTTAAGGAAGATGTTAGTTTTTGCAATAATACAAGTTGTTTTTGTTTGTGTTGTACTACTTTGGTTGCATCAATTTGGTATCATAGCATTAGGTTGTTGTGAGTCTTTTTTTTATTTTAGATATTTTTTTTAAAAAAAGGATAGTTAGAACAATCAACAAGAGGAAAGACATAAAATTTCTGAGAAAGATAAATCTGAAGAAGAAAGTAAGCCAATTATGCTTGATTCCAGAAGACAAATTTTCAACAACAAATGGGTTCCACCTCATGCATATTCATCTAATCCTCTACAGATCAAGCTTCTCAAAATTCGTAGACACTTATATTTTTGTACAGAAAGATATGAAGTTAAGAAGCTTTAACTTCTAGCCGAGTTTAATTGAGAAAAGGAGATGATTGAAAAGAAATATGCTACTTTGACTAAGGATTTAGCTAAGACGCAATTTGCTCAAGTTGGAAGTCCAATTACTTTCTCATTAGGAGATGTGATTTCTCCACCAAGGGAGAATTGATGTAGGCAAAAGTTTCAATTTTTTCATTAAATAGACATTTATTATTGGGCTGAATTTTCTTTCTTGGACTTGGTCCATTGTCCCTTGGCTGCTTGGTGTTTTGGTTATCTCAGCTGATTTTTTTTTGCTGATTGATTTTTGGGCTTGTTGTACTTCTTGTGGGTCTCCGAAAGGATTCAGCTCACGGGAAACAAAATGCAAAGGAGATGATCGCATTATCCCGTAGGACAAAATAGTTATAGGCCTTTACACTCTATGCAAGCTGGCCAATGGAAGAGCAGATGAGATAATATATACGATTAACCATGGAGGATAGCGGCTTTCACATATACATCTCGATGGGTAATAATATATATACCTTGATCAAAGTCACAAAACTTCTCCCATTCGATACATCAACTCGAATGAGGTTTATTTGATGTGGACATCTGTTTCCCACGGGCGCAAGCCCCTATAGTTAATTACATTTTAAGGCTCAACTTAAGAAAACTCTCGATTAAGGATGCAATATTATTCTCTCATACATAAGGGAAAATCTAGACTCTCCTAATCGAAAGGAAGATAGGCTTAATTAGGCTAATCAACGTACGTGGATTATATCAACACTCAATCAATCTGAAGAAGAGAAATTGGAGAAAAAGACAATTGCATTCAAACATGCACGAGAGAAGGACGGAGGTTGCATCATCTATGTGATGCATATATATAGGATTTATAACCTCTGAAAGATAGAGAGCTTACCCACCGATAAGGCATACAATAGTACACCAGTACCACTAGCCTTTGATCATAAATCTATAAGGGAAGTAGTACTATATACAGTTTTAATATCCACAACTTAACTAATGCAATATGGACTTATATCTTGCATGAAAAAGAAAGTCAACTAAAACCACCTAATTGTATAAGGTTCATGTTGTCTGGTCTGTATGAAAGATAGGTAGGTGGTTAAGTTTTTGAAATTTGTGGCCGACATCTAGAGAAGTTCCTGAGTGGTCTCGTACTTATGAATAATGTTATGCTTTTAAGATTAATGCAATTAAATTTTAATTTTGTCAGTTTTTAATGCAATGTATGCTAGTTAAAGTATCCAAATTAGAAAATGCATGAAATATTAAAAATAACTAAAAATAATTTTTTTAGAAGACTAGGCTTTCCTAGGTTTAGCACCTCATCTTTATAGGTCAGATTATCTTAACTCTACCTGCAGACGGGAAAAAAATTTATTCCTAAAGAGCTTAACAAAATTTAGGCACATGCATATGCAAGAAAGAAACCTATGAAAAATATATAATTTCCACTACGCAAATAAAGTAAACAATCAATCACAATAATGCTTCAACTAGAGCAAAAAGTATCCAAAGTTCCATGTCAAGCGACATATTGCAGAAACGTAGTGGTGGCCAGGTTCCATTGACAACAAACTAGATTATACTCCTATAGCACGATGCTGGTCTTAAAATGAGACATTATAGTCTTGATCTTCATCTTCTTGTTCTTTTGTGGATCGCCTTCCTTTAGTCTTCTTGTGGTACATCATCAGCAGGATATTCAAATGAAAAGAAATTCCCAATAAAGAGACTTTTTTTTCTCTTTGAATCCCTAATATGTTATTAAAATGCCCCATTTCATAGACTTTCATAACTCTATAAATAAAATAAATTACATCAAATTATAAAAGCAAAATCTAGACTCTCATGCAAGGTTATCTTAAGCATTTATAATCAAACTTCTTAAGTAGTTATATATGAAAATAAAAATGCCTAAACCAGCCAGACTTGGTCTTGGTCTTATTTATTTGGGGGTTAAGCAGTTGAAGCACATGTAACAGTTATATATTATTTATTTAATTTAGCTTCCTTTCAGCACTATATGAGCATGACCACCTGTAAAAAATATTGTAAGTATTAAAATCACTACTAATCTATAAGTAGTCTATCATTCACGACATTACAGAAAGAAAATAATAATCTCAGAAATCATCACAGAAAGCTAACACTAGTAACAAAACAAATAACACACGTTTCACATGCAAATCGCCACATCACATAAATAGAAAGACAAGAAAAACACCGGCCTAACCTAGAGCTAGAAGTCGTGTCCTAACAAATAAGTCTAGGTGTGCAGTAGTATGTGTGGTTTTAGGTATGTCCTATATTGGATAATTTGTTCGACTTATTTGTAATTTGATTTGTTAAAGTCAAAAAAGGGAAAATTTAGTTTAAGTTTAAGTATTAATGTCTTAAGATTGATTTTAGGAGTTTATTTATATTTTAATGTTTAATTTACTATTGCCTTTGTTGTTCATCGAGGTCGTGAGATTTATTTCATTTTCCTTAAGACTAGCTTAATAGTCTTGTTGGCCAGAGTTACTCAGTAGTAACCAACTTTGTTAAGTTAATTTAGTTGGTTGTAAATTAAAAGAAAATATGATTTATGTAATTTATAATCAATTAAAGGGTTAAATTAGTTAAGTTCTCAATCAACTGGTTGGTGGCGTTGTGCCGTCAGGCTCGAAGTCTAGGC